CCAGAAAATGATGATCTACAAATAAGCAACATGAGAATTATTATCAGAATTTCATTTTTCTTTTTATTTTTTGAGGTAAGGGAGTGTGGCTGGAGACTGAATTCAGAGCCTCCATGCACTAAAATATATCTCTAGCCTTTCTGTTTTCCTTTAGTGAAAATGAGCCAATTTAATAGCTTAAAACAAAATTAAAGTATATATTGTTTAAGTATTATGTAAGAGCTAAAATAGTGTTAATATGAAAATTAGAAATTCTAACTTTTACATTTTTTAAAAGCAGAATTGATCCATATACATGAGAATGACAATTTCTACTCCATTTCAAAATTAAGTCTCCAAGGAACCAACAAAGTAAAAGCCTTGCTTTTTGGTAGCAGGTTCTGCTATTATGTGCTTACTATTTGATTTTTATGAATTCTTACCCTGAACAAATAAGTTAAGTTTAATCAAATTCCAGCTTCCTATGTAAGCTAAATTATCTTAACTAGACAAAGAACACTTTATTTTTAAAGCCATTCTAGGACAACTATGTATTCCTATTCTTAGCAAAGTTATACTTAGATCTGTTTCACAACAGTACAGCTAAGGTATCAGAAGAAGACCTAAAGGAATACTTAAATGTAAAATGACTTATTAATGAGAGTTATTTGGTTCTTCTATTAGATCAGTTTCAACTAACTCCTCTAAAAAATCCTTTCAAGGTAAAGCTAGAAAGCAAGCAAACAAAAGCCATGGATGTGAGTTAAGAATGACTAGCTCCAAGAAACTGAAATTACAAATTTTATCACAGATATCTGAATAAATGCCACACAATAGTAGGAGTTTCTAATTTACCTATGAGGACTTATTTTTTTAACCACTGTAATAGATGCGCTTGTATTCATTAATATTCTTAAATGGGGAAATAAAATAATAGAAACATTCTTCTAAGTATCATTCCTAGGCAATAAATTAATACCTAAGGGGGAAATATTTTTGTACCTTAGAGGTACAAAAAGCCTACAAAGTCGAATATAGGAAAGTACTTAGAAAATAGATCCTGAAATCTAGTAAATACAATTGTGCCATCCAGTGGTGAAAAGGAACAACAATTCTATTTAAGAGTTACTAGTGAGAAATGACAAACAATACAGCATACTTTTTAACAAACTATGGTAACCATATATGCTG